AAAGCTTTGTTGCCACTTTTGTCACTTTTTTCTGTGTTTTGTGAGCTTGCAGGGTTGTCACTTTCCCTTCTAGAGGGAACATAAAAAAGTAGTTCAATTTATGATTTCTAGCTTTTGCCATCGTCGCGAAAAGACGCTTATAGGCAAGCGCATGCTCGGGGAGATATGTAAGGCGTTTGCTTTTATGAATGAAACGACTTAGCTTATTGCATGGGCGCCAGCGTTCATGAATGAAAATGTTGTTGTTGTGTGATTTACTATAAATTTAGCATTTGTCAATTTGGCTGCCATATTGATTTCTGAGGCCGCTCATTCTATATGAGAGAATTGTTGTTTTTCTATTGGCTCATATACTTACGCATATTTGTGCAAATTAACTTCCTTCTTTATGGAAGTATTAACAAAATATACTTATTTAGTAATAATTGAAATGTATTTTGATATATTATATTTCTCATAATAAAGTAAAAATTAATTAACATAAAATAATTTAAAAAATAATAAATAATAGTTCAATAAAAGGGAATATATTTCAAATGGCATAACAATTCCCCGTTTGGCATACATATTATATTCTCTTCAATAGTCACCTTTGGGAATGTTAAGAGTGTACAGATTCAACGCTGTTATAAAAGCGAGAAATGTTTTTTTTTCTCCTGCTTGTGAGGTAAAATTAAAATTTTTAAAATGTTCGCTGTCGAACCTGCACCTTCTCGTTCTTCTTAGTTCTCTGGACACACTACACACCACCAAAGCAGAGAACTTAAAACAATGAGAAGGTGCAAATTGAATTTTGTATGATGCTCGATTGGTTGGCTGAAAATTTGAGATCAAGGAGTTCACCACTTTCTGTATAGTTTTGCTGTTATTTAACAGAAATGAGAATTTTTAACAAAGTTCTCTGACAAAATACGTATCTACCAATATAAAGAGAAAAATGAAATGAAATGAATGAGAAAACAAGAAATACAAATGCCACTTCACATATGCATGATTATTTTTTGCCATATAAACGATTTTTATGATGAAAAATTTATAAATTATTATTTTTTGCACAAATACTACATTGATAAAATGTGAAAGATTATGCAAAAAATGATATTTTACTATTTTCATAATTTTCTAATTTCAATTTTTACAGAATTAATAATTTATGTATGTACATCAATATGTTATATTATATAATATACTTGAATAATATATTATCAATTATCAATAAATACATGTGAGCGCACTCTCTATATGTAGTATGTATGTACAAATATGCATATGACCGCGCAAAATAAGTAATGCATACACAAATCTTACATTTAAGCGTACAAATGTAAGTACGTCAGCCAATAGGAAAAATACAAACATTGTTGTACAAAACAACAATTGTCTCAAATAGCATCAGCACCAGAAATCAATTGGCAGCCAAATTGACAAATCCTAAATTTGTAGTAAATCACACACCAACAACTTTTTCATTCATGAACGCTGGCGCACAAGCAATAAGCTAAGTCGTTTCATTCATAAAAGCAAACGCCTTACACATCTCCCCGAGCATGCGTTTGCCTACAAGCGTCTTTTGCGACGATGGCAAAAGATAAAATCATAAATTGAACAAATTTCTGATATTCCTCTAGAAGGGAAAAGTGACAACCCCTCAAATATGAGTATTAAAATATTTTAGAATAAAAGTGACAACATAAGATATTGTCGATTTACAATTCAAGAAACTTTTTAAAGAAAATATTCAATATTCCTCTGATTTATGTATACAGTAAACCCCGGTTAAGTATCACTCCTCCAATCCCTCTTATCTGCCGGTGTCTTACTGCATCTCACTTTTTTTTTCTTAATTTTTAAAGAAAACGGTAATTTTTTAATACATAGAAATAATTTTTTTGGTACCTCTCGCTTAAGTACCACAATCGCTTATGTACTACAAAGCGCAAAAAATCTTCATCTTTGGTTTTGGCACTTAACCGGGATTGACTGTATTTGTCACACAGTAAGTACGTTCGAATTTTTTGTACACACATTGACTTGGCACTTGCCCATATGCGATGTATGTTTGTAAGAGTGTGTATGGCACATCTCGGATTTTCTACCAACAAAACAATGTTGTGACGCTTTGTCGTCGCGTCAGTTCTTCGACAGATTGCCTCTTTGACATAAAAGCAAAAAATGTGTCAACGGAGATTTCACATGAAGTAATGAGTGTACATATCTACATAAAAATACATACAAATGTGTAAACGACATAATATTATATATGTATGTCCTGTTACATATGTTTACACATGCATTTGAAAAGAAAAATTGAAGCATGAATGTGAAATACCGACGGCAAAACACAATTCTGTACTTTTATGACTCCATAATGGTGTCAAGTACAATTAATGAATTATTTTAAGAAATATATCAAAATACTTTAATAGTAATAATTTAAAAGTATTTTGATATATTTCTCATAATAAAGTAAAAATGAATTAACATAAAATAATTTAAAAAATAATAAATAATAGTTCAATAAAAGGGAATATATTTCAAATGGCATATCAATATGCCCAGTTTTGCTCACATATTATATTCTCTTCAATATTCGTCGGTTGGTTATGTTAAGAGAGCGTATGTGTACAGATTCACCGCTGTTATAAAAGCGAAAAATGTTATTTGTTTCTCGTGCATCTGTGGTGAACTCCTTGATAAATTCCTACAAATTGTTCGCTGTCGAACCTGCACCTTCTCATTGTTTTAAGTTCTCTGACCAAAGGTAGTAAAAGGGACCGACGAGTGACTACAAGCAGAGAACTTAAAACAATGAGAAGGTGCAAATTGAATTTTGTATGATGCTCGATTGGTTGGCTGAAAATTTGAGATCAAGGAGTTCACCACTTTCTGTATAGTTCTGCTGTTATTTAACAGAAATGAGAATTTTAACAAAGTTCTCTGACAAATACGTATCTACACAATATAAAAAGAAAAATGAAATGAAATGAATGAGAAAACAAGAAATACAAATGCACTTCACATATGCATGATTATTTTTTGCCATATAAACGATTTTTATGATGAAAAATTTATAATTATTTATTTTTGCACAAATACTACATTGATAAAATGTGAAAGATTATGCAAAAAATGATATTTTACTATTTTCATAATTTTCTAATTTCAATTTTTACAGAATTAATAATTTATGTATGTACATCAATATGTTATATTATATAATATACTTGTAATAATATATTATCAATTATCAATAAAATACATGTGAGCGCACTGCTCTAATGTAAGTATGTATGTACAAATATGCATATGACCGGCGAAAATAAGTAATGCATACACAAATCTACATACATTTAAGCGTACAAATGTAAGTACGTCAGCCAATAGGAAAAATACAAACATTGTTGTACAAAACAACAATTGTCTCAAATAGCATCAGCACCAGAAATCAATATGGCAGCAAATTGACAAATCCTAAATTTGTAGTAAATCACACACAACAACTTTTTCATTCATGAACGCTGGCGCACAAGCAATAAGCTAAGTCGTTTCATTCATAAAAGCAAACGCCTTACACATCTCCCCGAGCATGCGTTTGCCTACAAGCGTCTTTTCGCGACGATGGCAAAAGATAAAAATCATAAATTGAACAAATTTCTGATATTCCTCTAGAAGGGAAAAGTGACAACCCTCAAATATGAGTATTAAAATATTTTAGAATAAAATGACAACATAGTAAATTTGTCGATTTACAATTCAAGAAACTTTTTAAAGAAAATATTCAATATTCCTCTGATTTATGTATCAGTAAACCCGCGGTTAAGTATCACTCCTCCAATCCTCTTATCTGCCGGTGTCTTACTGCATCTCACTTTTTTTTTCTTAATTTTTTTAAAGAAAACGGTAATTTTTTTTAAATACATAGAAATAATTTTTTTGGTACTCTCGCTTAAGTACACAATCGCTTATGTACTACAAAGCGCAAAAAATCTTCATCTTGGTTTTGGCACTTAACCGGGATTGACTGTATTTGTCACACAGTAAGTAGTTCGAATTTTTTTGTACAACACATTGACTTGGCACTTGCCCATATGCGATGTATGTTTGTAAGAGTGTGTATGGCACATCTCGGATTTTCTACCAACAAAACAATGTTGTGACGCTTTGTCGTCGCGTCAGTTCTTCGACAGATTGCCTCTTTGACATAAAAGCAAAAAATGTGTCAACGGAGATTTCACATGAAGTAATGAGTTGACATATCTACATAAAATACATACAAATGTGTAAACGACATAATATTATATATGTATGTCCTGTTACATATGTTTACACATGCATTTGAAAAGAAAATTGAAGCATGAATGTGAAATACCGACGGCAAAACACAATCTGTACTTTTATGACTCCATAATGGTGTCAAGTACAATTAATGAATTATTTTAAGAAATATATCAAAATACTTTAATAGTAATAATTTAAAAGTATTTTGATATATTTCTCATAATAAAGTAAAAATGAATTAACATAAAATAATTTAAAAAATAATAAAATAATAGTTCAATAAAAGGGAATATATTTCAAATGGCATATCAATATGCCCAGTTTTGCTCACATATTATATTCTCTTCAATATTCGTCGGTTGGTTATGTTAAGAGAGCGTATGTGTACAGATTCACCGCTGTTATAAAAGCGAAAAATGTTATTTGTTTCTCGTGCATCTGTGGTGAACTCCTTGATAAATTCCTACAAATTGTTCGCTGTCGAACCTGCACCTTCTCATTGTTTTAAGTTCTCTGGTATCTACATGTGTCTGGCTGAAATACTTTCTCTAGGTGGTAAGCAAAGCAAATTGATTTTTCGTCTTAGCTTCGAACCCAATTACCTCTCTCTCTTACCTCCGGCGTCTTAATGTGTTTTTTTGTTGCATTTGCGCTCAATTTCTTTACATAAATTTCAGTGTTGTATTCTTCCGCACACTTTTTTTCTTAGTTACGCGATTTACCTCCCATTCACGTCTAGCTTGCCTTTTTTCAGTTACAAGCATTTCTATTTCAACATTTGTGATTCTTCTAAGACCAGGCGGTTTGTTATTTTTGTTTGGAGTTGCTAAGACAGCATTATTATATGTTAATTATTATATATTAAATTCCGGAACGCTTTACCCAATATCTCATTCGGTGTTTATTCTGTAATCAATATTAATGTGGCTAGTGATATATTTTATATATTTTAACTAATTTTGGTGATACAACCAGGGTTGTTCGCATAATTTTATTAGCAGAGCAGAATGATCAGAGCATAAGTCAGTACATGTATCAGCAGTTATAAGTGATCTTTTTATATTTTTGATTACAGCGAAATCAATTACATTTGGTATTTTATTACGATCACTGGGCCAGTATGTATGTATGTCGGCTTACCGATACAAGGTTTGTTCAAAAAGTATCAAGATTTTTTTATTTTTTAAGAATTATGAATATATATTTTGTCCCCTTCAAAGTAATCACCCCTAGATATAAAGCACTTACGCTATTAGGTAAGTAGATATCAGTGAAGATTCGATACACTTAGCTGGCGAAAATTTAAAATTCGCGATTCCTTTTGGACAAATCCTTTCATTGGTCTCTTTAGTTTTGGGAACAAAATGTCACAGGGGCCAGTCTGGGAATACGTGGCTGCGGCACCATTAATGTGTGGTTTGGGCATACGAGG